GGGGAGAGAGGCTGAGTGCTTTTCTAATAGCTGCAGAAGAAAGTCTTCCAATTCCCAGTGATGGGTGCTGTGCAGTCTGACTGTCCTAAACCACGTATCCTGAGTGCTGGTTATTGAGAAACCAACTCTCTGTTGCCAAAGCACTATTCTACAGACCAGTACAGGAAATTTCTGCCATAGAGAACAGGTATTTGGCTTGTAGAAATTTCTCAGTATCTTCATTTGTTGACACAAAGCCCGTTTTTCATTCCCACTCAACCCCCCATTGTTTCCTTTCCCAAAAGCAGAGAAAACTGAACTTAAAGATAGGGAATCACGTGCTCTGGAAGTGAAGTAAAGGTGTCAAAGGAGTGAAGCTATTTCCCAAAATGTAGTGGTGTTTCTGAGTCGCAGCTGGAACTCGTTTTATGGAAAGCTGGACAGATTGAACATAAAAGGTTCTTCAGCCTGCAGAGCCCTCAGCAACGTGATGGAATGTATTTTTCATTCACATGAGGTTAATTTCTTAATATTTGGGAAAGTTCTGTGATGCTGGAGATGCTGGAGATGTCCACACCTGAAGTGCCAAAATGGCCGCTCCCTAAGGTGTGTGGAAGCCGCACCACGGTGATTCTGGTGCAGGTGGGCAGTAGGAGGTTGCCTGGTTTTCCCATGTGCAGTTTGTGAGCACAGTTGTATTACCTGGGTACCTACTTACAATATTTACATCTTTAAAAAATCATTTAAAGAATTATCTATACTAACAGATTTTACTTTCTTTAGTTCTCACCTGCCCCTCATATAAGCCCACGGATTTAGGATTCCTGGTTTGTTTTAATGATGATAGCATTTTTACAGCATGTGTAACCTCAATAGAGGGAGAGAAGATTAATGATTTCATGTGATTTTGTTTTTCACCTGGACACGGATCTTTTAGGTTCTCCCCGAAGGTGTTAAGGCTTCCATAAGAAGAACTGCTTTGCTTCTACTTACTGTGTCCCAAATCTTCTTCTATCTGTGATAGCATTCGTCAGATTTCCCCCAGAGATGGATTTTCATTTATAGAAGACAAGGAATATATTTGTAGGGGTTTCTCAGGTCTGTGGGGCAACTAAAGAATGACAACTTTGAAACCTTTATCCAGAAGTGCTCTGTACCAACTGCAGGCTATATGAAAAGAAACAAAAGATAAAGTACTTGTGCTTAGCTGAAATTTCCAGAAACCTTTCAGACATTGTACCCACGAGCTTACATTTGAATAATCTGCTGTTTATTTTGGCCCAATAATAACTAAATGTGCATACACTCAGTCAAAGGACAATGTGAATGTACATCCATAGGCTGTGCTTGCAGCATGCACACTCCACCTCCGTTGTTCTCTTCTTTGAGGGAATTTATCAGGAAGCTTAACTGAAACGTTCACAGGCAGAAAGCTGTAATGTCAGCACACAGATGTCAGTGTGCCTCAGAATCACAGAATGGCCGGAGTTGGAAGAGAGCTCAGAGATCATGAATCTCCAACCCCCTGCCACATGCAGGGCCACCAACCTCCCCATTTAATACCAGACCTCCTGAGCTGCCACGGGGGTCCATTTAGGACCACTTGTCAGCAGGAGAGTCTTTGCTATATAAGTACTTCCCATGGGGAATTCCCAAATCAAGGGTTGACATGGAGAGAAGAAACTTACTGTGCTCCTGAGCTGTGTTCAGGTGTTTGGCACTTCAGGACTAAACTGGTACTCCTCTTTTAAAATTGTCATTCCATGAAGCTTGCCAAGGTATCTGAAATAACTCTTACATTATGCAGATCTTTAATGTGCAATTAATATCAGTTTATACGATTAAAATTTTAAAACAAAGTCAGACATAAATACAAGAAGTAATATCTAGCCAGCCTCATTAGTGTCTTTCTCTGCTTGCCATCACATGGGTCTGAATTTGCTTTTTGTCTAGCAGACATTCAGACCAAGGATGGGTTGGTGTCTGGCTCTCTGCTGGGTGCCATGTACATTATTGCCTTAGGCCCATTGCACAAGGAGTTTGGTCCATTTCTGAAGTAGCCCCCTGTTGCAGAAAGACTTACAGAGGCTGTTTTAGAGTGACACTGGATACTGTGTTGCACAAACAGGATGTAACACACGGTTATCTGCAGCTGTTCAAGGATGTAAAGCGTGTTGGGGCAGTGTGGGGTTGGGAGGAGCAAAACCCCCTGCAGTTCTACCCACCTCCCTTTCAGACGGTGTTCTAGGAATGAATGATCTTGCAAACTAAGGTGAAGTATTGCTCGGGGAGAGCAAGGTGGTGCTGGCAAGAAGTGCAGGCATTAGATGGTTATGAAGCACTTTGGAGAATCGGGCGTTGCTTGCTTAACTTGTGGCATGCTTCTCATCCCCTTTTTCGTTCAGCAGTACAGACAGACTTTAGTTAGAACCAAATCCAAGGTGAATTACACAGCTCTTGCAGGCTGTGAGCCAGGCCTTCTGACAGTTGCCCTCCTTAGGCTTCCTCTTCCCCAGAGTGGCGCTGAGTGCAGCAAAACAGCTCCTCCTCACGCTGAACTGAGAACAGCAGGGAACAGATGAAGATACAAATTCCTGGCAGTGCTCAGTGCTACAATTAAGAATCACTTTGTAATAACTTTTTCAGCTTACAGGATGAAGTTTGAGTGCTGACACACAATCCTCTGCATGGAACCTCTGTGCTGTGCTCTGAGGAAATTTGCTCTGAAGAGGAAAAATACTACGGATACGATATAAAGCAAATCTAGATCCCACTGTCATACATGCTTCTAAGCAGCAGAGCTCACTACAAAGTGGCTGAGCTGTGCTTTTTTGGGCAGGCAGTTCTTCTTTAGTCAGCTGCTATCATGGCAGCTCATTCATAATTATACTTCACACCACAACGAAGCAGAAAATAGAAACAAAGACCAGCAAACCCTAGGAGGAAGTTTTTCACACAGAGGGTGGTGACGCACTGGAACAGGTTGCCCAAGGAGGCTGTGGGTGCCCCATCCCTGGAGGCATTCAAGGCCAGGCTGGATGTGGCTCTGGGCAGCCTGGTCTGGTGGTTGGTGACCCTGCACACAGCAGGGGATTGAAACTGGATGATCACTGTGGTCCTTTTCAACCCAGGCCATTCTATGATTCTATGAAACCTACCACATAGAATTTGTATTGATTTTTTAAAAAATCTTCCTCAGACAACACGTGGACTCATCAGCGCCACATTTGGTCCTCATGTGGAGACTTATTGGATGCTGCTCTTAGAAGAAAACAAGAAGAGTTTCTATTCTGCTATGGTTTGGAATCTGGGAGCTGATGTGGGCCACCCTGTAACTAAGAAACTGGAAAGCTAAACAGCAGACTGGAAATGCAAGTCAAGGTGTTTAGGTTTTAAACAAGCACTACTACTACCTGCTACAAATCTTTTAACTGCTTTAAAAATAATCAAATGAAAAATAGTCAAATCAAGAGAGGATGCCTTTTCTGTTACAGACATGAAGCTGGAATAAACTGTCCAAAAGACTAAACACCTAACCAGCTAACACTGCTCTCCTTTTTACCTAATATTGCTCAGATGTTAAATAATATTTCTCATGAGATGAGACTACGCTTGGCTTTTAAGCACAGTTTGTTGGGCTTTTGTTTTCCCAGACAGCAGCATGAATCCTAAATTACCTCATTTTCAATTATGTAAGTGTCAGTGAGAACAGAATCTGACTCTTTGATTTTGTTTTGCTGTGTTGTATTGACTCACTACTCCGATCAGTCGGTGATGTGTGCACACACCTGGACGTTGCTCAATACCTATTACATCACGCACAGAAGAGCCCCTCGGCTATGCCAAACACACAGAGAGCTGACTGATGCCCTATCAGCACATAGCAGTCCTACCAGTGTAATTAAACCACTTTTTAATCTTTTTATTCAGGTCTGTGAAAAGCACTGTGGCTGCAATCCGCCATGTGACACACCAACTGTTTATAACCATCTCTTATCTGTTCATCTGAGTTCTGCCATTTACACACCAGGTCTCGCAAGGCGATGGCAATAGATGAGGTATTGTGTGAAGGTAGATCTTACATGGGGAAAGATAACAAAGGCCTTTGAGACTGCGGCTCTCCTCAGGATATGCACTGATAACATAAAGCATCAGTGTCCCATCATTATTTAGTTAGCAAGGTTTACATTGCATGGAACACAGAAGTAAGCTTGTGGGTTCCGTGTTTGCACCGTTCCTTCTGTCCTGGCCAACTCCTTCCTTCAGTCCTCGTCCTGATGATTTCAAAGCCTCATTACAGATGTAGCTGAGGGGTCTTTTTGTATTCTTCTGTTGTAAAAGAGTTACTCATCGCTTAATTGGAGGCACACTTGAAGCTGCTTTCAATTAGACAATGCTTAAAAAAGGTATGTATGTAAAACCATGCTAATAAATTAATCTGATGGCATAAAAAGAGAAAATATTTTTGCGTTTCTATTCTGTTGTGCTGTCCAACTAATCTTTAGAGGTACAAATGTCTCTGTAACCAAGTGATCTGTACACTGAGGAATTTAATGGATTTCTTAGCTGGAGGAAGAGGCTGTCACAGCATGCCCAGTATATAATGTAAGTCACTTACTTTGAATGCTGGCTTCTGCAATGCATTCAACAGATCCAATTTATGAAGACCTCATTATTTCGCTATTGGTCTTCCAAAGCCTTTCCATAAACTAATCAAAATTTCCCAAAGAATGTTTTATCAGGAAGAAAATTAGGGTATCCTTTTGTGAAAGGCTACATTTTTTGTTACTGTATCAAGGTGATTTATCATTGTGCAATAATAGGGAGCAGGTGTTTTTTCTGAAAGATTCATAAGCTCAATCCTACAAATGGATGCCTGGCCTTTGTGACCCTTTTTACCACATGCAAGATGACACACATCTCCTACTACTGATAGTAGTAGATGTACAGAGAACAAAAGTGCCACATTTGCTCCTACGAGATTGCCCAGTGTTCTTCAAAAAATACAATCAAGAACAAAATAAGCTAACTATAACATTTATTTAAGTTCATATACAGTTGTATTACAACCTTGATTAACAAAACCATACCAACAGGAAAAAACAATAAATGAAAACCTTACTATATTATCCCAAATGCTAATAAAATTTTGTGTCTTTAAATAAAGGTACTAACCTTCAGAGTAATTCAAAACTATAGATAAACAATCTTCATCACTGCAACAGTGGTACATTTAAAAACACACTGCAAAGGACTGTTAAGGGCATGGGATGCAGCCTACATATTGCTATAGAGCAGTGTGCATGGCATAATTGCCTATGTGGCTTGCCTGTGGTGTGAAACAGTTTCTCAGTAAAAGTCACGATAAAGGTGATTAGTATGTGCTTATTAAAGATGAGCACCGCCTGTGTCTGGAGTGAACTTCAGAAATGAGCGTCACATTGGGACCGGCACAAAAGTTGTGCCATTCACAGGTCCTTCTATCTGACTCTGCAGCTCACTGCACAAGATGGCGCATGGATTTTTCCTTCAATAAGTTACAAAATCTTGCCAGGTTAAGAATCTGTTTCACGGGTTTTGCAGGATGGGACTCAGAGTTGTTTAACAAGTTCTCATTTAGGATATTATTCAATGATTTAACTGGGAGGAATGCATGAGGATGCATCTTCAGTGACAAATGTCAAGAAGGATCTCATCCATGGCAACTTTTTTCACACAATGTGTCCCAAATGGCACGTGAGGAAAAACAGACACTGGGGAAAAAATAGCTTGCTTTTCTCTACTAACTGACAGAAAGAAGACCCAAAAGTCACTGTCTATACATTTGGACAGACGCTGCCAGCATTCTTCCAGCTCTTTCAAAAAATCTCCTCTTGCAACAGCTGCCATTTTGCAGAGTTCACTGGGCTTTGGCAGACACGTGACAGCTCTATGAGTGAATATGTTACACAAAATCTTTGAGTACAGTAATATTTACATTAGAACATGATCCAGTTTCCTTTCATTGAACAGATACATTCTTCAAAACACACAAAACACTGAGATTTTCTAATAAACTTGTGAAAAAAATTCAATATATATGGGAATTCATAATGTATTTCTTCAACGGATCAGAGGGGAGGCATCTGTATGTATTTCAGGCAGTCAGATCAATAACATATCCTCTGCACTTCTTTAAAACAATTGAACTTCTGGCAATTCACTGTGTAACTGCAATCATCTGATTCAATGCATCTTTTGGCAAAATCGCTGTAATCAACCAGCAAGCACTGGTCTATCTGTCATGGTGCCAGAAAGCACTAGAGATCTTGATTCCGTCATCATTTTTTCTCTAAACAGAAAGATATTGAAAAGCTCCAGCTATCTTCTTATCCCAGGGTTTTCTTTGCGTGTTTTGGAACACCTTGTGATATAAATGGGGAGCAGGTTGAAAACTGGAGGAGTCATTGATAAATACACCATGTGTTATCTCCCAGTACCCAGACTCAGTGTTTCCTGATGGAAATTATTTTAATGAAAGGTAATCACATCTACTTCCCTCATCCCTTGGAAAAGAAATGTAAAATCATTAGATGTTCCTGTAAGTATATCACAAGTAATGCAAGATAAACTGACAGGATGCAACAAGTTCAAATCATATTTTTCCTCTTTATGTTTTGCCATGATTCCATCACGTTGTAAATGAGAAAAAAGCTGGCGCTGTTAATTCCATGCTCTTACTAAATGAGATTATCTTGTACACAATAAATTGATTTGTCACCCTGGCCTATTCACTACAACTTGAACAGAAAAATAAATAGTGTCTGATGTTCCATTATTGATGTGATGCACATTAATGATGTTTTATTCCTAAGGCGATGATAAATGAGGAGGAAGTCCAAAACAGTATCCTGGTTTCAGCTGGCATACAGCTCGTTTTCTTCTTCCTAGCTAGGATTGTGCTGTGTTTTGGATCTGTGCACTGATAACACATCACTGTTATAGCTGTAGGTGAGCAATGCTCAGATGCTAAGCCAAGGAGACTCCATCTAGAGTACTGCACCCAGGCCTGGGGCCCCCAGCACAGAATGGATGAGGAGCTGTTGGATCGGGTCCAGAGGAGGCCACTAAGATGATCAGAGGGCTGGAGCTCCTCTCCTGTGAGGAAAGGCTGAGGGAACTGGGCTTGTTTAGCTTGGAGAAGAGAAGGCTCCGGGGAGACCTCATTGTGGCCTTCCAGTACTTTGAACAGAGCATATAAACATGAGGGGGAGAGGGGACATTTTACACAGGCAAATAGTGATAGCACAAGGGAAATGGTTTTAAACTAGAAGAGGGGAGATTTAGATTAGATATGAGGAAAAATTTCTTTACTCAGAGGGTGGTGAGGCACTGGCACAGCTGCTCAGACAGCTGTGGGTGACCCATCCCTGGAAGAGCTCAAGGCCAGGTTGAATGGGGCTCTGGGCAGCCTGAGGAGGCGCAGAGGGGGGCAGAGGGGGCAGCTCTGCCCATGGCGGGGGGGTTGGAACTGGAGGGGCTTTCATATTCCTTTCAACCTAAGCCATTCTATGATTCACAATTCTATGATTCTATGACTCTATTAAGTATGTCTCAGCTCCATGTGCTGCCCTAACAGTGAGGGTTGCTGGGGTTGCCCAAGGATCTCTGAGTTGGAAAGATGGAAAAACACTCAGCACTGCAGGGATTGTGGATTCGGGAATCTAGTTCCATCCACCCTGTCTTTTTCAGCTGAAAGCAGTTAATTCATGCAAATACACCTTTAGCTTTCATTCTGTAGCTATTTTGTGCATCCAAAATGAAAACACCATGAATACCAAGTACTGCAAAATGATGCTTCAAGTACCTTGTCTAAATTTGAGGAGAGCACTTGCTGCAACACCTGGCAAAGCTGCCCATCAGTTGAAAACCACTAACCTGCAGTGCTTCCATCCTACTGAGAAACTAACTCAGAAACAGCATGCTACTATGGTTACTCTATTTCAATTACAGGGTAGTATTTGCAGAAACAGACTCTTAATCAGGTTTGGGTCCTTTACTAGAGACAGTAGAAAATATGCAACACATAATGAGGCTCCTAGCAAGCAGACAAAGCTGCTTAAAGAATACACATTGATGGTCTCTCAGGAATATGCAAAGGAAGTCAACCTGGCCCACAAATATTTTTATAGTTCTCTAACAGCTTTCAAGTGGCTCACAAGAAACGAGTTCCAGCCTGTTATACTTACTTCTAAGACAGCTCTTCATGTTTTTACTTTGATGCTCAACTTTGTTTCCTGTGGATCATAGTTCCAGCTGCTTTCATCTCCACAACACATCCATGACTGCATGACTTTGAGAGGACTGGGGACAATCAAAAACACTGTTTAATTTATATTACTGTAACGAGCCTTGTTTTACAACACCACACAGCAAAAGAAGTGCCCAGCTCTGCACTGTACTGAGCAACTTGAGCAGCAACACAGCACTAAGTGCAGCTCTTATCTCTGAGGGTCAGTGCACTTCAGAACACAAGGATCTGTTCCTGTAGAGCCTACTAGTTCTGTTATATATTTCCGTTATATCAAAATACCCAAATCCCTCAACTTACCACAGTTGTTCTGAAAAAAATAACTGGGTAAAACTCAGTTCTCCAGTTTAGATCTGCAGAACTACTCCTAATGTGGTTTCAATCCTATCCAACATCTTCTTTATTATTTCTTAAGATATGACCAGCATATCCAAATCCTTCCTGGAGTCCCTTCCTAGCCAACATCAGCTTCTCACGATGCCTGAAGATACATTTTCTTCCAGTACCTCAGAACTCTTGAGGGTCCTGACACGGGCTGTCCCTCTGCAGCTGGCCATACCGCAGCGGGTGTTCTACCACAGACAGCAGGGTGTGCAACACACTCCTAACCTGTGTCTATTGATGGAACAATGGGTAGTTCTGAAGCACATCTGAGCAGTACGTTACCGTAAGCAGTCTGAGCTTGCAGTTGGTTACTTCTCTTCCTTGTTCCTTGTCAGTGAGTTCTGAGCAGTGGGTATAATGCTAAAAACCAAAGGCATTTTGTAATTCTGCAAGGTCCTCGAGATCTGCCATAGAACTAATCTATGGTAGGTAAATCAAAATCAAAGACAGAGTAAGCAGTTCCAGACAGTTCTCACCAGGAGATATGCTCAGTGTATTCTGTCCCACAGCTACCAACAATTCAGTAAGTTGTTCTAACGCCTGCTGTACTTGTCATTGTTAGAAGCTGACACAAAGTGAAACAAAAGACTGACTTTTTAAGGCTTGTTCTTAACTGCAAGCAAGTCATTACCATGGGCTTCCACCACGACAACATGTACAACCAAACTTGTTTGGGTACACACATGACGTGCAGTTCCAAGTGTCTTTGTAAACCATTTCTTTAGTGTCTTTGAACTGTTACTGAGCAACAGAACAGTAAAGAAACATGAATAAACGAACTATTAACTAGAACAATCTCATCCAGTAAGAGACAAGGAAAACCTTGTAAGCACTTCATTGACTTCATTTTATCTGAAAAATTGAGACAATCATAATTAGGACATGTAAAACACACCCACTTGGGAACCTGCTCTTCCATGAACAAAGGGACACTCACAATAGGCAGCTGTTTCCAGGAGTTCATCTTTCATCAAGGTTGGGACAGTAGAGCCTTACTCACAAAGCAGGACGGTGCTCAAAATCTTCTTTTCTTGCCCAAGATGTATCATCAGGTCTACTGCTTAGACTGCCTAGACATAGGAGCTATTTTTCAGAGATTAAGCTGGTAGCCAAGAGTGAAGTAAAAACCAAAAAAGCAGATTACCTACCCATAAAGGAACAAAAAATCCTATCACACTTTTTAATCAAATCTGACTTACGTTAAATGGGGCTGGATGTGGTGCTGATCCTGTCTGCAGTCACATCTGATGGCTGAGGTTTATATTACACAAACTAATCACAGCAGGAGTGCATCTTTTCTGAAAACAAGCAGAAGGATTGAAATAGAAATATAAGAATAATATACAGATTTACTGGTAGCATAATTGGGATACATCTTCCTCGGTATAGTGCATAAAAGAGCTAAAGAAAAATATAAAATATGATTAAAACCAGCAATAAAGCTAAGCAAAAACAACAACAACAGCAAAAGCTTAAATTGAAAACCAAGAAATTGCCTGATGGATGTAAAAACCAAGCTGAAAAGATATCCAGTAATGGGCAAATCTGCGTGATCAGTGGCACAATATCCATGAGTTATAAGGACTTCTGGGAGTCCAAATATTACCACTACGATTCTCATAGAAATAGAACGTACCTTCTATGATCTCTGTAGTAACACAAAGAACACAGCCGCTGGTTAAAAGAAAAAGCTATCATCATTTCTGCCTCAATACAATTAATAATGGGCTGTAATTAAACTACTTATGGTCTCTTCCTTTTTTGATGCATAAACGGAGTTTCCATTATTGTGAATGAGATCACGCATTTGGTGAGTGAAGAACAAGCTTACAAGTGATGATACTTATATAAGTTTCATTTTGTGAGGGGAAAAACCCAACAGATCAAGAAATTTATGCAAGGAAAAAGGATTTTTTACTACGTGTAAATATTTCTGTAGAAAAAGATGGAAAAATAGCTACAGAAAACTATTCCCAAATGCTAATTGGATGACGTGCATGCTGAGTATTCCTTGTTGGTGACCAACCATGCTGAGACCTGGGGCATTGCTTGTCACCATCCATCAAAATATCTGCCTCTCAGGCACAATTTCAGTCAACACATTTATTTTATCTTCACACTCACTTCGCTTCCTTAATAAAATGTGATTGTAATTCTTCCATATACAAAAACAGAGTGGATGTGGCACTGAGGGACATGGCCTTGAGCGGTCACAGGCATGGGCTGATGGCTGAGCAGATGATCCTGGCAGTCTTTCCAACCTTGATGATTCGATTCTCTGATTCTTGTTTGTCAGACACAATACTTCCTCCAAAATTCTTAATAAGCTTAATTAAGAGTATGGAAAGTTATCCCAGTGCCACACTGCCTTTCTGAACTCATTTCTTTCTACACAGCTTGCTTCTACCTCCTTACTATGTTGGAAAGGTATTTCTAGAAGCAGAAAGTCATGCCCCTACATTACAAAGTGCTTCCTTCATTAAGGCCAGTTAGAAGCACTGGGAAAGGATTCCCATGTGCACACCTCTGTTCCCTCTCCTTCCACCCTGCTCCTCGGGGCCCTCGAGGAGATTTCTTCCCTTCTCTCCATGCCTCTCTGTGCCCCCTGCTCTGGGGTTGGGGGCTGCGAGCCCCGACGCCTCTGCTTGCCCACTTCAGTGCCCTGTTGTTGGGTAAAGCTTCCCTCCCTGGCACTCAGCCTGTAGGAACAGTGGTTTCCAGCAGGGGAGGTAAGAGCTTTATTTGCTTGTTTCAAATTAAAGGTCGAGCTTGCAGTAGTACCAATTTCTCTCAGGACTGTAAGCAGAGAATAAGAAGAAAGAGCTTTATTTCCTTAAGACGCAAGAAGGGAAGAGTGGGCCCAACATGCACCAGCTGGGAAAGTCTTAACAGCACCCTGGGGCAGCTGCCTGACAGGGCTCAGAGAGCAGGGAAATTGAACTGCCTGCACCAGCACTTTTGAAACTGTCTGTATGTGCCTTTATATTTTCACACCATGTCCATCTCTTCGGTTCCAACTCAGAATCTCATTTTGCATAAATCAGAGGTTATCAGATCACCTCATCAGTCCCTTTATTTCTGGATAGCACCGTTCATCTCATCATCAGTTAAATATTGCAGCAACTTACACACTACTTTGACCTTCTTTGTCAACAACATGAAGACCTGATACATCACTTCTGTATTCAGACTCTAATAGAGATTTTAAAATTCGTCAGATGAACTAGAGACTTTATTTAATTTTGATTTGTTAATCCATCTCATCATAAAGCATATTAACCTTTATATTCACCAAGTGCAAAATGTAAGAAATATATTTAAAAATAAATCTTTAAAATATAGTTAGTGCTGTCATAATCAGGCACAGAAGCAAAGAATACATGCTCTGGTTAAGCCGGGAGATAGATAGTTTCAGCTAAGTTATTGTCTTTTATTTAGTAAGCTCAAAATCCTTGAGTGAATAAGACATAAAGGACTGGAAAAACCCATCCTAGATTTACTGATGTCATTATGACTTGGTTTCAAGACCGAGACTTTGAAACAGTGATCAAAAAGCTGTGCCAGTTATAGAATTCTCTTTGAAAGAAGACCCAAGTTTGCTAACTCACAAGATATCTTTCAGAAGGTGCTCAGGCCAGTTTGAAGAGCCAGATCTTGACAGAGGCTTTCATCAGTACTGCAGAAAGTAATTATGTGTAATTTCATATTAAATTAAAATGCAAAGCCGAATCCAGACATGTATTAATTTGATGATACAGGAAGAATATAAACATATGTACATTATTATACAAATGTGTTGCTATAGATGTATTATAAGCATGTGACATTCATTCAAAGAATGGAGAGGACCCCTACTAGGTGCTAACCCAGCTGGAAGCGCAGGAGGTAGTTTCTCTTCTGTGAGTGAATTCTGCTTGGGAATAGTGAAATGCCAGGGGAGTTGCCATGGCTGTTAGGTCTTGAGGTGCTAGCAGAGCAAGTGTTTGTGAGCCCTATGCCAGGAATGTTCTTCTGAAGTCAGAATGTAATTTGACAGCCTACCATTCAGGATTTGTTTCTTTGCTCATAATTTCAAATGAAAGTTTGTTTCAGCGGTCAGTGGAGAATTTTTCTTCATGAACTAATTATTTTTTCAAGCAAGAGAAAAAAACTTTATACATTTTGAATCAATTGATTGATTTGAAATAAAAAAATTGAATTACAGTCTTTCTTATGTGAAAGACAGTCCTAATTTGTTCAGTCTTCTTTCTTAGGCAGCCCACTTTAAGTCTTTGCACTCAACCAGAATGCATTTATTTTATCAGAAAATATTTCTAGTGAAATTGCTGAGCTACAGGAAAGAAATTTTAATACTTTATTAGCTTGTATGTAACTTCTTATTTCTTTAGGGTGTCGTCTACTGTTGACAAATGATGGAGTGATTGAAGGGAATTGGTTTGGGGGATGACTTCACAAGGTACTAAGTCATTAGAGATAGGATGCTGTGTGGCCAGAAGATGCCCTGCATCTCAAATGCGAAGATATCGGTGCCACTTTTTTCACTTCTCTATTTAAATTCTTTTCACTCAAAGTTTTCACTGGAGCATGTAACTTTGCAGACCTTATTTTTTTTTACAAATATAAATGCACTTAGCAAAAATTCTATGCCATTTACTCTAATGGGATTAGAAATTGACCTTTCTATGTGAATATTGCTTGTACTCCCCATATGAAGTGATTTTATAATGGCTTCCTTAACAAGATAATCCATCAAGGAACTATGTCAACTGCATCTAGTAACCTACTTAACAGATCCGGTTTGGCAGCTATTACACATTAGTGTGTGTCATCAAAGCTGGGTGTAATTTATATTAAACCACTGTAACAAACACATTTGACAGTAGGCCACAGTTCCTAGAAAAGGAAGATGTTCACTTATGAGCAGAATAATTTTTTGCAGTACTTTATCTTGTGGCTGGAAAGGAGAGAGCACCTACTGCTCATCAAATTCAAGTATATGGTTGACTTTGGCAACAGAGTATACAGCTGTGAGTTCATGTAGGACTTCACAAAGATCTCATTTCACTTTGGTGCGTGAACAGAAATAAGGCAGTAACTCTCCCTAGAGGAGACTTTCTTGGGATCTTCAGCAGACAGATTGCCTGTCTGAGTTGATTATATTAAGTTTTACAGGGAAGAGGCAAATTTCCTGTGGATTTGTTCATTTTGAAATCAAAGATCCAATTGCTATATGTATTTCTGTCGCTGGAATGGAACAATGCTGAGTGAAAGGTACTATCTTGGAGCAGAGTAAGTAGTAATAGCCCCTGTCTTCATTTCAATGAATGATTCACTACATAAATGGTACTGCTAATAGTCAGAAAAAAAAAAAAAAAAAAAAAAACCAATCATGTTTTTTGGATCTTTGGGAAGGTCTTTCTCATTTTTTTCACAGAAACATTTCCTTTCTTGTAGATAATTAGAATTTAGATACTATTTCATAAGAACTTCTTTGAATTATTCCACACCTTACATCTGTAGTACTCACATTTAAGTATTGCCAAGTATTTACCTCTAAGATGATCTAGTCCAAATATCAACCTGTCACCACCACACCCACTAAACCGTGTCCCTCAGTGCCACATCTCCATGTTTCTTGAACACCTCCAGGGGCGGTGACTCCATCACATCCCTGGGCAGCCTGTTTCAACCCTCACAACTCTTTCTGAGAAGTAATTTTTCTTAATATCCAACCTGAACCTCCCATGGTGCAGCTTTAAGCCATTACCTCTTATCCTGTCACTGTTATGTGGAAGAAGAGACCACCTCGCCTCAACCTCCATTCAGGCAGCTGCAGGTAGCGATAAGGTTCCCCTGAACCTCCTCTTCTTCAGGCTCAACAATCCAAGTTTCTTCAGCTTCCCTGTAAGACTTGCACTCCAGACCCTTCACAGCCCTTCTCTGAACATGCTCTGGCACTTCAATGCCTTTCCTGTAGTGAGGGGCCCAAACTGAACCAGTACTCGAGTGTGGCCTCACCAGAGCTGAGAATAGAGGGACGATTCCCCCCTGGCCCCACTCCTGCTGGCTGCACTATTGCTCATACAAGCCAGGATGCCATTGGCCTTCTTGACCACCTGGGCACACTGCTGGCTCATGTTCAGCCAGCTGTCAGCTAACAACCCCAGATCCATTTCCACCATGCAGCTTTCCAGCCACTCTACCCCAAGAGTGTAGGGTTGCACAGGGTTCTTGTGACTAGAGTGCATGACCTGGCACTTGTTCTCATTGTGCCTCATACAATTGGCCTCAGCCCATCAATCCAGCCTGTCCACATCTCTCTGTAGGGCAGAGATTCTTAATCCCA